CATTCACTCAAGCATCTTCTGAAACTGTGTGCATGACTCAACCCAACATGTAAATGGAATTCATGTTGTAAAAAACACATGAAGAACAACAGGAATGAATCCTAAAAGAAGAATCCAAAGTTTCATTGGCACAGTTAACCTAAGATATTAGTTTCATTTGAGGAATAAAATGTGGCTACTAAGCTATTCATTGCCTCAGAGAGGCTGGACATCAAATGATCAGGCAGTGTCTGATGAAGTCAGTCAGAATGATGAGATTTTTCTTTGTATTGTAAAGCATGGACATAGGAAATTTTTAAGTTAGATATGGGTAAGTCCTTGCCCAATTAACTAGCAATGTTAAGCACGCAAGCAGGACACCAAATGATCAGGCTGCATTCAATGAAGTCAGTCAGAACGATAAGATTGTTCTTTGTATACTAACACGTGGATGTAGGAAATAGCCCACAGGAGTTCTATAAATCAGATATGGGTGAGTCCCTTCCATTTAGCTAGCAATGCTAAGCACCCACACTATGTGCCTCATGTATTCATGTGAATAAGTAATTGCTTTTTTCTTCGAACACGCAGGAGAACTGTGTAACATATCCTGGTTTCCTGTGTATTCACTAGACAGGTCTGGAGTCTGATCTTGCATAGGCTAGGCCTCCTGTCCATTGCTCCTCGGCCTGATGTAACTCGTTTTTTCCAAATGGTGGTGCCAAGCAATCAAGGGGTTTGATAAAAAGATGAGGAAAGGGCTGAATTCTTTAATTATCTTGGTCGCTTGGGAATTATGGAAGCATCGCAATGCTTGTGTGTTTAAAGGAGCTCTTCCAGATGTCCAGTTGGTGCTTCGAGCTGTAACTAATGAGGATGTTCTTTGGTGCAAGGCGGGAGCCTCTGCTCTAAAGCAGATGCTTCTTCAGCTAAGCACAGAGATAGGAGTGGTGTTTTAGTGTACTGAGGTGTGTGGGTTTGGGATTTTCTCTCCCCTTGTTGTAGTAGACTCTTGTCTCTCCAAACTTTTATTTCTTCTTAATGAAATGACACGTAGCTCTCCTGTGTTGCTCGAGAAAAAAAAATTAAGTATAAAAGGGATGTGGGGTGGGGTGGGGAAGAAACCCCATAAAACCTCGTGTATTCATGTGAATAAGTAATTGTTACTCAAGAAACCATGACTCATGCTACCCAGGCAAGTGTACAACAGAAATTGTGCCCTCTTCGCCAAATGATTATGCACCTCAACCAACTTGAATGTGCAAACCATATTTATTATTACAAACGCTATCATCCCCTGCAATCTCGTGGAAGCTTATCTCAGTGCTATCACACAAAGGTTTAAATTGGAAAATTCATCCAACAATCAAAGATTAACAGGGCTAGGAGGCACATGCCAGTGACACATGGTATGGTATTTTACAACTTGGCAATCATTTCAATGGCACTTAATGATTTTCTGTAAGAGAGTTGGATGTCAATAATCAAATGCAAAACATAATATCTTAAGAAGTGACATGCCTTTCCTTTGGAGATAAATACCACATATAGAAAGAGACAGAGAAAAGCTTTACAATACAGTACTTGTAGCCTAGTCTTCACAACCCATAGTGGATTTGTTGCAGTAGCAGTTGCAATTCCAGCACATGAAGCAGCGAGAACATTTGCTTGGACAGATAGTTCACCATTATTACTATCTGCATAATGAAAAATCTGTTAAAAGTATATAAAGAGTCCTTGTAGTGATTCTGCATTACAAAAAGAACTGTTTATACTGGCAACAGTAGATAAAACATGAGCATGAACCATTTATACTGGCAACAGTAGATAAAACATAGACAGCTAGAGAGGCTGGCTAATGGCAAGAATTTTCTTTGGGAATGGTCACACTCAAGTGGTCATTCCGGAGGGCTGCTCATAGGGGTGAATACAGATTTGTTTCTTGTACAGAATGTAGAGAGGGGGGAGTTTTACATCAGCCCACCCTCGACGCTGGTCTACACCTCGGCACTGGTGGTGTGTCCTCTACTGAAATGGGCCGACTGCCCAAACTCCCGGTGTTCTACCTCCAGCTATTCAATCTTCCTCAGTGACAACTTGGTCTCTTGGTCTTCAAAGTGGCAAAGAGTGTATCCCATTCCACTGCAGAGATGGAGTATTGGGCTGTTGTACATGCAGTTTGTTATGACCGGCGTCACAGCAACGCCGGGCCTGGCCCAGTGGCTAGACCACGTCGCCGGCTATGGCCTAGGCGCCCCCAATAGATGGTTTTGTTCACTTCCATAATTATAGGATCTTGATTGATTGGCTTGTTAGGAGAGGGATAAATATCCCAGAACACTTTTGGAATGAATTAAGCAAGGCAAATATCTTTTGCCTGGCCTCAAGGGCCACCCCTCTCGACTCCCTCTCCCTTGCCCTTTCCTTGCCGCGCCGCCGCCGCTCCTCGCGCCCACCGCCACGGCTCCCGTTCGTTGCCGGGGTTATCGTCCACGGACACCCGTCTCCTACCCCTATGCCCTACACAATCGTGGTAGGATTGTCGATCCTATCAATCTGGTACCGGAGATGCCAGGTTCCGATGATGGCAAGGAGACGGCCCAACCGATGGTGCAACCGGTGGTGCCGCCGCCTGCCCTGACGCCATTGCCAAGGCTCTCGCCGACCTCGCCCAGCAGCTGGCCAATCTCAACACGCGGGTGGCGACCGTGGAGAGTAACTAGGCGTCCACTTCGGCGAGCGCCATGCCCCAAGGTTTTACCTACGGGATGCCGGGGTACGGCACGACAGCGTTCCCAGCCATACCAACCACCGCCACCGCCGCCACCGTATTGCACACCAGGCCGCCCACCACCACCACCACCATGCCCACCGCACCAGCCACCGCTGCTTCACCCGCCCCTATCCCCATCCACCTCAATTTTCCCCCCTCGCTGTCCCCATTGCCCAACTTCTCAGCGCCGCCAGGGCCTGTGTTTCCTCACTACACCGCCCTGGCACCACCACCAGCGCCCGCCCCCGACGCGTCCGCGGGGTTAGGCGTCCCCCGTTTCATCAAGCTCGATGTTACTTCCTATGATGGAACAGAGGACCACCTGAACTGGCTCACCCATTGTGAGCAGTTCTTCCGGGGGCAGCACACACCTGCTTCGGATCAAGTTTGGCTCGCTTCGTAACACCTCCGGGGTGCCGCCCAGACGTGGTATGTACTATGCCCTGGAATAGGATGAGGGCATGCCTTCGTGGGAGCACTTCAAGGATCTCTGCACCTGCGTTTCGGGCCGGCCATCCACATCGACCGCCTGGCTGAACTGGCGCGGCTACCTTCACCTCCATGGTGAGTGTTTCAACACGCTGGTGTGTCACCCGCCGCAGCTGCTACCCGCCTAGAAGGCCGACCTGTTCGTGGTGTGCTTCCGGAGCACATCCGCGTTGACGTCGAGCCCCGGGAGACCCAGGACCTGCAAACGGCCATGCACCTGGCCCAGCTGCGGCCACCATGCAGACCCCAGTATAGCAGGCCACGCACCTTCTCCAGCGCCAGCAGTTGGCGCTGCCTGCACCGGCTACACCAGCGCGCGTCCTTGGACCAGGCGTGGCCGTGCCAGCGCTCCCTGACCCGTAGCAGGCTCCAGCACTGCCTGCACCTCCACGGCCGTTCCGCCGCCTGACGCCGACCGATATGCTGGAGCACCGTCGTGAGGGGTTGTGCTTTAACTGTGATGAGCCGTACGTGTGGGGCCATCAATGCCAGCAGCTCTTCTACCTCGAGGCCGATGACTACCTCGTCAACGAGGTGGCAGACAATGCTACCGCCGAGGTGGCCATCGAGGAGGACCGCCTGACGCCCCAGTCGTCTCTTTCACGCCATCGCTGGCATCCGCACGAGGAATACCATGCTGCTACACATCGACGTCCAGGGGCACCGCCTGCTCGCCCTCCTTGATACGGGCTCGACCCACAATTTTATCCATGCAGGGACCATGCGACGCATTGGGTTGGTGACGGCGGACAGCGCCAACCTGCGTGTCACGGTAGCCAGTGGGGATCGCCTTCCCTGCGAGGGCATGGCTCGCAACGTCCCCATATGCATCAACCTGGAGAATTTCTCCATCACCTGCTTCGACTTCATCCTCGGCGTCGACTACCTCCGGACCTTGGGCCCCATCCTGTGGGACTTTGAGGCCCACACCTTGTCATTCTGGGGGGCGACCGCCGCATCCTCTGGCGGAGCGTGGGCTGACGCCGTATCATCCCCGACCACCGGTCTCCTACCCCTATGCCCTATGCAGTCGTGGTAGGATTGTCGATCCTATCACAATTGCTGGCCGACAGTTGCTTTATGAGCTTCATGTCTTGGTTCCTTGGGTGACCATTGATTATTGTGACAATGCCGGTGCCATCTAAGTGACAGCCAATCCGGTTCATCAATCGTCGAACGAAGCACAACGAGATTGACATCCACTTCGTCCACGAGAAGGTTGCTTTGGGCCAGGTCTGCGTCCTCCATGTCCCCTCCGCACAAGAGTTCGCAGACATCATGACTAAGGGACTGCCTGCCGTCTCTGCGTCCAGTTCCCTACCGATGTGACTGCAAGCGAGTATTAGAGATATGTAAACACATGTAGATCATGTGACTTGTACTCCAAGTTGTACCATGACTATATATGAAAGCCACCCCCGATAATGGGTGTGAGGTGTTCCCTAATGCTCTACACTCACCATTAAAAATGGAGTTGTTCCAACCCATACCACCAGAAGCCTCTTCAGAGGGGAGAAAGCAAATTTATTGAATTGTTTAGGAGCAAGTTTCTTGATGTAGGAATCATCAAATTGTTCTTAGTTTCTTGAGTACAAAAAATGGCACACAAACTCTCATCAATTTTCTCTGACAGCATTGCATTTGTCCTCTGAATTAATACCTATGATATTCCAGTTTAGGATGCTCCAACTTCTGTTTACACTAGCGAAATTACTGTCAATTGAACTGATATCCATAGAAACAATATTGGAGGAAGTATCTAGTTCTTCGCCCAAAGGGAGACAAAGAGAAACTTCATACGCCATTCCTGCTCGGATCTGCAGTCTGCTTCATCTTCAGACCTTGAGGCAAGGAACAGCTCCGCCGTCACCTCCAAAGGAGAAATGCAACAGGTTTCAGTTGCCAGCTTCTGAATTTGAACAATGGGAATTTCATGAAAAGTGACACCCTTGTCATTATATTTAATAATAGTAGAAAGACCAGCGAATTCGGTCGCTTGGCTAGTGGGGAAGAGTGGAATATTATCAGCAGATCAGCTTGGGGTTTGATCTTCTTGCCTATAGTCTTGTTTCTGGTGGTTGTTTTCGTAGAAGAAATAACGAGTTTATGCCCATCAAGTTTGTCGATGAGTCTTGGACTCCTCTGTTAAGGTATAATAGCCAAGGTCGACTGAAGTGCATGATACTATTGAGGCCCAATGGGGACTATATATAGAGTACATGAGGGACGCAGGAGGGAAACCCTAGACCATACGAATAAAGAGAGACTGAACTGGATGATAATATTGAGGCCCAATGGGGACTATATATAGAGTACATGAGGGACACAGGAGGGAAACCCTAGACCAGAAGATTACACTAATGCCCTTGACTATTATGCTTGAGCACCCCCTCTCAAATGCAACGTGAATGCAATGTCGTTGCATTTGGAGAGTTGACACAATGCACTAGACTTGAAAAATAAAAGAGACGAATTAATCCAAAATCCAAAATAGAAGATGTCGTCGAAGCGTGCAACTCTTGAACAATGTCGATGTAGAAAAGGACCTCAGCCACAAGAGCGTACTGCCTTCACAACCCGTACTTCAGCAAATACCTCAAGTCTTCACAAAACAGTACTTCAACTATGAACCACACTTTGGAGATTTTGAACTCGACGATAATAGAGAGATGTGTCAAATCAAACCAAAGGAAGAATAGAGAGATCACTGCTGCAAGACGGCAAACAGTAGGATAGAATGGTGATGACGACAAATAGAAGGCCATTGATCATGAAGTGTAGCAAAATGGCTGCGAAAGAGACCGAGAGGTCATAGTCACATCAATGATGATGATGATGACTAGCTAAATCAACAGGACTCAGCTAATCAAAGAAAAGGAAAAAAAGTTGGCTGATCTGACAAAATATGTGGACACGCACAGCTTCGATGAACTTTAGGTGTGGAATTGGACTTGGATGAACTCAAATGCAACATATGCAATGGAACTTAGGAAATAGGCCTCAATATACTAGCATAGCAGCATACCGCAACAGAAGAACATCACCAAAACTGCAGCACGAACATAAAGTACCAGTAAAACAGCCTTGCAAAAAAAAGTACCAGTAAAACAGAGAAGACTAAGAAGAACAGAGAAGACTGAGAAGAACAGAGCATGTAGCAGAGTCAGCCATAGATGACACACGACAGCAGGACAATGGGACTCTGCTGCACGGACTGAACAAGAATCCATGGGATGAATTGTGCGGATTGGGCTGTGAAGAATTGACGAGCTGTGCGCGGTGAACGAGTCCGCAAGGACGGGCGGTGTGCAGCAACAAGCGGGCGACGGGCTCGCGGACAAGGTCGAGCGAGCCACGAATGGTGGTGGATGAGGGTGGTGCAGATGGCGGGCACAAGCCGCAGATGTCGCGGAGACGAGTAGGGACGCGCACTGTATTGTCCAGAGTGTTCTTTGAAATGCTTGAGTAACTGAAAATAAAATTCAAATATGGATAAAAAGACAAAATTATTCAAGTGCATTCACCACAGTAAGGGTCCAATGTCTCTTCCCATTGCTTGTAAGCATTTCAAACATAAATGAAAATTGACAAATCTAACAGTCTGGTAAAGCACAGTTGTATTTAACCTTTCGAATGAAGAACTCCCTTCACGTGATTGTAAACTGAAAAGGTTACCTGGAGATGCAAGCAAAAGTATGATTACCTGTTTAGGTAAATAGTATGTACCACATATAAATTTGAGAATTAACAAAAGAAATTCAATAATAGAAGCGTATAGACAAATTCAACTACTATATGATCAATTATTTTAGAAAAAATAAGGAATACCTAAACAGGCATCAGCTTTATGCACGCAATCATAGGTTTTGAAAATGGAATCGAGAACTAAATAATCCAAACTAGGCAACAGAGAGAATTCTACAAAGAAGAGAAAAGACCATCACATTCCTTCCAGCTGCTTACGAAATACAAGGAAATGTTCCCTCCTGCTTATGAAATACAAGGATATGTTCTCTCCTAATCAAGGCAATCTCTGTTATATTCTGAAACGAAAATTATGATTACTCCATTTCTATTCATAAGGCGTGCATGCATTTTAAGATTCGAACATCTTATTTTCATCTAACAATTAGCCTTACAAAGATGTAAATTTCAGTATACAAAAGTGGTATCCTCGAGTTCAAAATCGAAAGTACTATGTTGGGTCATAATTTCACTGCTACAAACATTATAATATTGGAGAAATTATGAGCCATAGTCTAATTTGGAAAACCATGCCAACACAAACCATGCCTTATATTTAGAGTATTAGAAGAAACACTCCAAACTTCTGCTCACTCCATAAGGCATAGGCATACTCATCCATGAAGTTGGGAGTCAAAAATTTTCTTCTCTCAAAGAAGTGCCTATTCCATATGTCGACTCCAAACTCCCATGGACAATCATAAAACATCACAAAAGAGTCCTGTGTTCCCCTGAAAAAAATCATAGCTAAATGGGCTCTCCCAGTTCATCCTACAAACACACACAAACCACTACATAAACATGCCCAACAAAACTATCAATGGTTTCATTCTTTGCAGAATGGTGAGGCAAGAAGCATGGCCAGTGATGCCACCTTCAACTCGCTGATCAGTCTTGCCACATGGATTATCTGGAAGTGGAGGAATGATGCCGTCTTCAACTACAGTTCCGCCTCAGTACAATGCCTGCTGCAGGCTGTAGATGTGGAGATTCACCTCTGTGTTACCTCTGGTGCACAGCCGGTGCCAAGGGTCTGACATCCCGGGAGGCCAGTACAGGCTAGAATCTTAGACAGTGGTTGTGTCTAGTATCTACATCAAGCATGGCCGTGGGCGTGAACATAATCTGGAAATCTAATCCAATGACACACAGTTCTCCTGTGTTTTCGATGAAAAAGCAGATCTTATCTCCACATCATATATCACTTGATTCGTTTTGTTAAGGTACATTAAATATGAAGTAACAAGAGGGTCCCTTGCTAGCAAGCAACAAATGCAATAAGATGTCTATACATGCTCCCCAAAACTACACGCATTTGATTTCAGCCTTAATCCAGAATATGTAAGAACTCTAGTGTCAACACATCAAATCAGGATAAAGTGAGTATATAGCTCATTAATTGTTCAACTAAACCACACTTGGATAACAAGACTAACGAAGTCTGTTAAACAGTTCTGCAATAGTGCTGGTAGAAGATGTAAGATTAACAATTCCTTACAGCCCAAGTCGGAAACAGTGCTACAATTGTTGGAGAAAGGCCACGATACAGCCCAGGCAAGCCTTCATTTTTTAATATCTGCTGAAAACCAGAAATAATCACCCTACCTAATAAAGATAGAGACTGGAATCAGAAAACAAGGGAAAATTGAAAAGACAGATGATAAGTAAATAAAAATACCAAAGACTGGTTGGTAGCATTTAAAATTTGGATTCCTAAGCATCCAAAATTTTCTAACATGGCTTTATGTTAATCATCAAACTACAGCAAGAGACATAAAAATTGTACCTCATGTCTCTCAAGCTAATATAACTACGTAGATTTTATCTTCTAAACTCATGGTTTTAGATAACATCTCCACATGTCATAATGGTTTCTCTCCAAGTTACTTTGCATAATTGAAAGACAAACTTGGCAAGAAAGAATAAATATTTTGTCATAGTCTCCAAATTAAGCATTAGAATATCCAACATAGCACTCAAGTCTTTCATAAAAAAAAGGGCGTACCCAGTGCAGAGAGCTCCCGCTCTGTGCGGGGTCTGGGAAAGGGTGTCAATGGCAAGCCTTACCCTCGCCTATGCAATGCGAGGAGACCGCGACTCGAACCCGGGACCTTCCGGTCACAGGCGGTAAGACTCTACCGCTTGCACCAGGCCCGCCCTTCCACTCAAGTCTTTCATAGCTTAACAGAAATGGTAATATCAATCCCTCATACAAACAGTTAGGTTCAATTTAAATTTAATATTCAACCAGCTGAAGCTGAGAGTATCATGCTTATTGAAGTACCATTGTGATATCAAAAAGGATATCAATATGAGATGGTGCATGGTTCAGCCTTGAAGTTGCATCTATGCTATATAACCAAGTGCAAGAGACAAGCAGCAGCCGCTAGGCTCCACGAAAAATGGATAGGATAAGGTACATGGACCTTCAAGATGTATGTTATCTCCTTGAGTTACACTGGTTCAACCACTGAAGTCTGGAGGTCGGAGGGGAGGGGGGTACTCTCCCCCTGACCGAGTTTTGATTTATCCCATGACCAAAGTCGAAAAAAACAACATTAAATTAAAACAACTGTTGGCTGTTTATCAGTCTGCATGCTTTATGTGCCTAATCTAGCACTACTGAACCTATAATAGGCTATATCTCAGTTAGATACCTATTTCCGAGTTTCGACATTCTTTCTTTCCATTTTGTCTCAAGGATTTTGGAAGCATGCTCTGAACAAGTGACATCACCCCACAGGTCTAAACAAAAACATCCAATAAAGACTCCTTCCACAAACAGGAAGAATCTATATTCAAAACGTAAAGCTCCCTGAAATCACGAAACCATCCACCTGCAGATCCCTAATGAACCCAGGCATGAACTCCAGCATCAAAGATCCTGTCATGTGGGGCCGACAGTACAGCCGCCGGCTGCGGGCACGAGACGCAGCCAGGGCTGCCCCCGAGGGCGCGCATGGCCAGCAGGAGCCCGAGGAGGCCTTGGGTGGCTGAAGGGGCCTTAGTAATTATGAGTTGGTTGAGTAATTAGAAGTTAAGGCAGGGCTAGAATCAAGGAGCCAGCCTCCTATATGTACCCAGGACTACGTGAGAATGAATCAAGCAAGAACAATTACCTTCCTAATCTACCTCTTCTCTCTCAATCTCACCCCCTTCTTCTCTGGTCGACCAAGTAACAGCCCTGGCACCATTACCGGCCCCTGGCTATGAACTAAGGAGCCAGGGACCTCCAACCTTGGGTGCCAACGCCCTTGACAACCTGGTATCGGCTTCCAGGCGTTCTTCTTCCTCCGCTGCACCACCACTAGCCCACCTAGCCGCCACCGCTCCATCTGTTCCTACCTCACCTTCATCTTCCATCGCCTCCATATCCTCACCCATGGCCGAGCCAACCACAGCAGACTTGGCAAAGCTCATCCAGACCCTGACCGCCTCCATCAGCGACCTCTAGGGCTAGGTCGCCGCGCTGCAGCAGGAGCGGCCAACAGTAGGCTCTTTCTCTGGATCGAGGGGCTCAGGCCACGGCGAGAACCACAGCGATCGCCCACCTTGGTTCCAGAAGCTCGACTTCCGGAAGTACGACAGCAAGTCCGATCCACTCGCGTTCATCAACCGTTGTGAGTCATACTTTCATCAACAACGGATTGTAGCGGAGAGAAAGTCTGGATGGTGTCATACAACTTGGAGGCCGGCGCCCAGATGTGGTTTATCCAGGTGCAGCAAGACGAGGGGACCCCCTCTTGGCGTCGCTTCACCAAGCTTCTGAACCTCTGCTTCGGGCCGCCAATCTGTTCCAATCCGCTGGGTGAACTCATGGCGTGCAAGCGCACCGGCTCTGTAACAGAGTATCAGGATCGGTTTGAGGCCCTGCTGCCTCGTGTGGGCACGCTGATGGAGGCACAGCGGGTGCAGGCCTTCACCGCTGGGATCCAGCCACCACTCAGCCTCGACGTCGAAATCCACAACCCCCAATCGCTCATCGCCGCCACGAGTCTCGCCCGCAAGCTGGAGCAGCACGTGCAGTATGTTGTGGCGGCTGCACCACTGGCTGCTCCACCTAGGGCCCCAACGCGTGGCCTCCTTCCCGGGTCGCCACCACGTCTGGCGCTATCAGCGCCTCCCGCCGGGGCTGGACCGTCCACGATCTCCGTCGAAGGGCGCCAGGTAAAACGTCTTTCGCAGACTGAGATGGAGGAGTGGCGCCACCTTGGCCTCTGCTTCAACTGCAACGAGAAGTTTGGCAGAGGTCACAACCACGTCTGCCAGCGCATCTTCCTCCTCGACTTGGCCGAAGATGATGAGGCCGATGACGCCCAAGAAGCAGAACCAGTGGAGGCCACCGAAGCGGTCAATCCACATATCTCGCTGAACGCGATCGCGGGCATCCGCACCAGCGAGACCATGCAGGTGCACCTACTGTTGGACGGTGCATCCCTCCTCGCGCTACTCGACTCCGGCTCCACCCACAATTTCATCTCCGAAGAAGCCGCGGCCTGTGCCTCCCTTCAGCACATGTCCAAGGGCAACATCAAGGTGACAGTGGCCAACGGCGAACGCGTGCCGTGCCCGGGAGTGTACCGCGCCACGGCGTTCGCCATCAACGGCGAGGGCTTCACCACCGACTTCTTCGCGCTGCCGCTGGCCGGCTACGACATCGTCCTCGGGACCCAGTGGCTGGCCTCGCTGGGGCCGATTCTGTGGGACTTCGGTGCGCTCTCCATGTCCTTCTGGCGCCATGACCATCAAGTCTGCTGGCAGGGGGTTGCTGGTCCAGCCAGCCCCTCCCTGCGGGCGTGCGGGGGCAATGACCTTATGGGCGCCCTGCTGGACGCTTTTGCTGCTGTCTTCACTGAGCCGACATAACTGCCTCCACCACGTTCCAGGGACCACAGCATCAACCTTGTCCCTGGATCGGCACCGGTCACCGTTCGGCCCTATCGGTACCCCGCCGCCCACAAGGACGAGCTGGAACGGCAGTGCGCCACCATACACGAGCAAGGGCTGATCCGGCACAGCTCCTCAGCCTTTTTGTCGCCCGTACTCCTCGTCAAGAAGGCGGATGCCTCATGGAGCTTTTGCGTCGACTATCGCGCCCTCAACGCCATCACCATCAAGGACACTTACCCCATTCCGGTGGTTGAGGAGCTCCTCGACGAGCTGCACGGCGCCCACTTCTTCTCCAAGCTGGACCTCCGCTCTGGCTACCATCAAGTTCGCATGAACATCGCTGATGTCGAGAAGACGGAGTTCAGGACTCACGATGGCCTCTACGAGTTCCTCGTCATGCCTTTTGGGCTCAGCAACGCCCCAGCCACATTTCAGGTGTTGATGAACGATGTGCTTCACCCATTCCTACGCCGCTTCGTCCTCGTCTTCTTCGACGACATCCTCATCTACAACAGCTCGTGGGCGGAACATCTTCAGCACGTACGCGCTGTCCTCACCGTCCTCCACTAGCACCGCTCTTCGTCAAGCGCTCCAAATGCGCGTTCGGCATCACCTCCATCGCCTACTTGGGGCATGTCATCTCCGTTGCTAGGGTGGCCATGGATCCCGACAAGGTCCGGGCAGTGGCAAACTAGCCTCACCTCGCTCAGCAGGGCGGTCTGCGGATTCCTCGGCTTGGCCGGGTACTACTGCAAGTTCGTCAAGGAGTTCGGCACCATCGCAGCGCCGCTGACCGCCCTACTCAAGGAGGGTTTCGTCTGGACAGAGGCGGCCAGCACTGCCTTCTCCGCCCTCAAGACAGCAGTCACCATAGCGCCGGTCCTCGCGCTGCCCGACTTCGCCGAGCCCTTCGTCGTGGAATGTGACGCCTCCACCTACGGGTTCAGGGCAGTCCTTCTCCAGGACCAGCATCCGGTGGCGTTCTTCAGCCGACCAGTAGCGCCACACCACCAGTCCTTGGCGGCCTATGAGAGGGAGCTCATCGGCCTCGTCCTCGCCATCCGACATTGGCGTCCATACCTCTGGGGCGGCGATTTCTGGTAAGGACTAATCATTACAGTCTGAAATTTTTGCTAGATCAACGCTTGGCCACCATACCACAATACCATTGGGTGGGCAAGCTCCTAGGCTTCGACTTCACTATTGAATACAAGGCTGGCAGCACCAACACAGTGGCAGACGCCTTGTCACGCCGGGACACTGAGGAGCTGGCGATCCTTGCCATCTATGGACCGCGCTTCGACTTCGTCGACCGCCTCCGCCACGCCAACAACACGGATGTGGCGCTGGTCACCATTAAAGCCGAGATCACGGCTGGCCAGCGCACGGCTCCCTGGTCCCTCATCGTCAACATGGTGGCTTTCAAGGGCCGCCTCTACCTCCCTCCAGCATCACCCCTGCTGGCCGAAGTCCTCACGGCCGTGCAGGACGACGGCCACGAAGGGGTCCAATGCACCCTACACCGCCTGCGCCGCGATTTTCATTTGCCTCACCTGCGCACGGTGGTCCAAGACTACATCCGTGCCTGCACCACGTGCCAGCGCTACAAGTCTGAACATCTCCACCCCACCGGCCTACTGCTGCGACTGTCGTGCCCACCTCGATCTGGACAGGTCTGGGGCTGGACTTCATTGAAGCTCTTCCCTGCATCGACG